GCAAGTCATCTTCTCGATTTAAAGTGATTCTGATATTTTGATTATACTTTCATTATACACCGTGTCCCAAAAAAGACTGAACAATTTTATTTACGTATAAAAAGTTTATTCAATCACACAATAAACTAATTACATTTTAACTTATACAAATATTCCTAAGTTTTGATTGATATCATATGTGTTAATGAATTTTAATATGCTTGCCATTTTTGGCAAAAAGATAGTCAATACGGCTGTCCAATTCAGCCCACACTCTATGGCGCATTTCTTCAGTAATGTTAGTAAAGGCTGCATTTATCCTTTGTCTCAATTCTCCGACATCGGAGACTTCTGTACTATAAACTTGGTCCATGATGAAACTCCAGATAAAAAAATCACAGGGTGTTAGGTCTTGGGACCGTGGGGGCCAGCGTATTGGACCGTCACATCCAATCCATCGAAAGGGGAAGGTTTGGTAGAGTGATTCTCTTACAAATAATTTCCAGTGCGGTGGGGCACCGTCTTGTTGGAAAATCACGTTGGGCTGAAGGTCTTCCAACTGCGGATATGCAAAGTTTTCTAACATATCTAGATAAATGTTTCCATTTATTAATTTTTTTCTGGAAGAAAAACAGACCAATAAGTCTGTCATAAGATATAGCGCACCAGACATTCAACTTGGGGCTATCTCGAATATGCTCTCAAATTTCATATGGATTTTCAGTGTCCCATATTTGTACGTTATGTTTATTCACTTTTCCACAAACGTGGAACGTTGCTTCATCAGAAAACACTATCTTTTTTACAAAGTTTTTATCAGTAAACAAACAATCAAGTACAGTAATTGCAAAGTACATCGTTTGTGTTTAAGTTTGTCATCTGGGGTTATTTGTTGTAGAATTTGCAATTTATAAGCTTTCATATTTAAATTTTTCTTTAATATTCTATGAATGCTAGATTTTGACGAATTTAACAATTGACTATAGTGTTATATAGTCAATGATTTAACTCACGTGCCTCACAGCGAACAGACTTTCGAGGGTCGTGAAGAAAAAAATGTTACACGTTTTCAATCAATTCATTTTGGATTTTAGGCCTACCATTACCTTTTAAATGTTGTAAGCTTCAAGTTAACATAAATTTGTCATACCAGGCTCGAATGCTGTTCCGTGATGGAGGACGTTGACCATAGCGTCTTCTAAATTGTCTTTACACTGCAATTGACTTACTTTGAATGTACCACTCAACACATTGCGCTTTCTCTTGTGCGTTCATGGTGCCTGCTTAATGACAGGGCAATATTTTGAAATTTCAAGTTTCAAGCGACAACAATGAATCAGCTGATAGTTAAAATTGATATTGAACAAAACTTTATGAGCTCAGTTATCATATGATCACCTTCAAAATAGACTAGGTATGCCTGGACGTATTATATAACAATTTAAAATTGTTCAGTGTTTTTGGGATACGGTGTATTTTGACTCTATTTCAGTGATATTAATCTACTTACTTCTTACTTCTTGGTGCGTGCTTCCAGCTTCAAGTGATGCCGACCACACGGTGTCTCTCGTATACATAGCTTGCTAATCTCCAACAGTTAGGCTCAGTTAGGATTCTTTTGAGGGAACAGTCAGGTTGGAGTTTTCTCTTTAGCTCATCTCTCCCGTCTGACTTGCTGGGACAATGCAGGAGGATGTGTTCTAGAGTCTCTTCTTCCAATTGACAAACAAGACACAGGGGTGACTCTGCCAGGTTAAATCGGAAGAGATTGGACTGTGTAATTATATGTCCTATTCTTGCTCTTGAGGCAAACGATGCTACTGATCTGGGAAGGTGTTTGAAGACTTCGATGTTGTTGGGTTCTTTGAGGAGGCTATAAAGATGGCGGCCAGTAGGTTCATTGTTCCATCTCTCTACCCACCTGTGTCTCAGAGTTCTGTGAGCTGTGGCTATGCAACTGGAGAGAGTTGGTTGCTTCGGTGGTATTGGATGCATGTTGGAGGCTGCTTTTGCTATTTTATCAGCTTCTTCATTTCCATGCAGTCCGCAGTGACCCGGTATCCATTGTAAACAAATATTTTTGCCTGAAGCTAGATCCAGGAGATGAAATATTTCTTCTGTTATATGATAATAGTTTGAAGGCTTATATTGTTTTAGAAGCTGTAGTGCGCTTTTTGAATCGCTGAGGATGCATATGTTCTCACTCTCCAAACTTATGCAGTGGGCAGCTGCTGCGTTGATGGCAAGAAGCTCGGTTTCGGTGCTTGAGCACGAATTTGTTGGAACAAAAAAGGAGGTATTGGAGTGTTCTGTGAAATAGCCGGCTCCAGATTTTGGTTTGGTGGGGTCCAACGACCCATCAGTGTAGATCTTGTAATAGTTGTTGTACCTTGTGTTTATCATTTCTATGGCCACGGCTCTTTGTATTTCTATATGATCTTTTTTTGAGGTGAATCCTGGAAGTTCTAGCTCAGTTTTCGGGGGTCGAAAACACCAAGGTGGGATTTTGTTGATTGTTGGGTATGGTATTGGATGGATATTTTGTGTATTTTCTGCTATTGATGATGTTTGGAAGGCAAAAGAGGACTTGTGATAAGTTTCTTGTGGGTTTAGTCTTAGAGCTGGATTTGATGAGGGGTCTGCAGAAATACTGAGATATAGATACTGTGATATTAATCTAGCCTAGGCTGTTTCTGAATTAAGGTACTTCTTGGCATAACCTTTAGAATAGTATCATTAACGTATTTGTAATCAATTGTTAATTAGTAACAATTAAATATTTCGTTAAATTTAAGGGATTAGTCACCCTAAAAGAGATTAATATGTTTACTCTTATTTAATAATCTGTTTTATTTCTAATTTTCCAATTATTAATTAAATCGGGGCCAAACCTAAAACAATGCTATTATTTTTTATACATTTAGAAATCATTCTATTTTTAACAAATGTGTTGCTAAACAATTACCATTGGGTGTAAGGCAAGTTTACTGATGTTGATAAGTATAGCTACTATTTAATGCAACAGAAAAATGTATACTTTACCCATTATCGTTGGTAGTTTTTTTTATGAAATAATCATTTTTTAAAGTCAAACTATGGCTCGTATTATTTAGTCGTCTTAGACGTTCATACACTTCTAAATCTACTGATTGATATTCCACCACAACGTCTGCTATTTTTTCTGTGGCAAAACGGTTGTCCAAGCGAATGAACTAGCAGCCGACCCTCAGAACAATCGGCTGGGGAGGACGGGTAGCAGGTAGGCTGCCAAAGCAGCCCAGCCCTACTAGGGGTAGCGTTTCAGGGGGAGACGATTCGGGGGTGTACATAGGGGAGACCTTTCCGTTTCTACTTGTTTGAATTAAAATTAATAACATAATTAGTTCGTATAAACTAGACTTTGATCAATTACATGTCAAACCCTTGGGGGGGGGTACGATTCCGGTCGTGGACATAGATTTTATACCAGCTGGTTGTCTGGTGACGTTTCCGGGGGAGACCATTCCGGCGACCCATCTGGCCTCTGTGATGCTGTATGGTCATGGTGGGGTGATGGACCTGGAGTCGCCACATCTTCAGACATAGCAGCATCCTGCTCAGTAGCTGACAACTTTGTATGCCTCTGTATTTCTTTGCGAAGTCTTGACCAGTGCCGGATTTACCACTAGGCCGATTAGGCCGCCGCCTAGGGCCGCAAGCAAAAGGGGGCCGCAGAGGATTGAAAAATATTTGTTTAGATAAAAAATAATTATTTTAAACCACCAGTTTGCCGCGATCACAGGTGACGATAATGATTCACTTCGCACTTCATTCGGCAGATGTTTATGATTTCACCACGGCCGCGAGTGTTGATGATGGTGTCCCCGTGATTGCGACTCATGGGAGATGTTAACGATTTTGCCGGGGCTGGGGTGTCAATGAGGATGTCCCCGTATGGCTTCCCTAGGAGGATGTTTACAATTTCGGTACGGCCGCAGGTGACGATGATGATGTCCTCATGATCGCAGTCCACGGGAGATGTTTTTAACATGAATTAGCCGCGATCGCAAGTGTAGATAATGATGTCCCTGTAATTGCTGCTTCGTGGGAGATGTTAAGGATTTTGCCACAGTCGCGAGTGTCAATGATGATGTCCCCGTGATTGCGGGCTGCGGGAGATGTTCACGATTTTACTGCAGTCGCGGGTGATGGTGATGATGTCCTCAAAGTCACAGCTCACGGGATATGATCACAATTTCGCCGTGGTCACGAGTGTCGAGGATTATGTCCCTTTGTTGCAGCCCGCGGGGGATGTTTACGATTTTGCCACGGTCACGGATACCTATGATGGGCTTTGACTTGGTATAGGAGAGATATCCATGAATTCATCCAAGATCACGGTTGTTGATGATGATGTCCCCTTGATGCATAGGAGATATTCACGATTACTTCCACGATCGCAAGGAATTTCCACCAAAGGGGGAGGGCCGCTCAAGTAATTTGGCCTAGGGCCGCAAGTACCCTAAATCCGGCACTGGTCTTGACAGAAAAGCTGAGTGAGACAGTCCATTTCTCAATACTCAATCAGTCCTGGTCATGGGAGATTATGATGATTCTAGCTCCTGTCTGATTATGAAAATGTAGGACATTTGAGACGAACTGGTGAAGCTTAATGTGATCTCGCACGCAGCTCATCGGCGAACAAATCAAGGTTTTTAGTTTTCGGGTTTTAAAGTGTTTTGTGAGCTGTGAAAAATGAAATCTGCTTTTTTTGGCCTTCCGAATGTTTGTCTAAATATAACTGCCACTCCAGCGCTAACACCATAATTTTGATTCAGCTTGCTGATATTAATATTTTGCTTAATAGTTTGTTCATTGCATAACTATGTTTATAAAGTAGTATTGGTTGAAATCTAGGATATAGAAAATTGTGAACCCTAAAAGAATAATACAATGATTGAACTCCAAGGAAAATATGTCACATTATAATAAATTCATAACTAAGCAATAATCAGCCTAGCTTGTGCCATTGTCTGTTGTAGGTGCTGTGTGCTGGTTCCAACACAGACCAGCTTTGTCAACCGATAGTGAGATTCACAGCTAATGGCGGATCAATATTTAATAGTTTGTGCTCTTAAAAACTGATTTGCTAATTGTTTACCGATTTGTAATTTATTGTTTTTTTAAATATATTTTCAAATTGAATCATGTGTTTCTAGTTATTTTCTTCAATTAATAACTATAAGAAAATTTGCAAACAAGTCTAAAATATACAGGGTGTCCCGGAACTCTCTACAGTAAAGTCCCGCAAACTCGGCACTCGAGATTGTTTGGACGATCTACTGTTTTGGGGAATGCCTCGTTGAATGAATTTAGAAAGTGTGTAAGAAATTTATTGTAATTTGTATCTACATTAAAGGTTTCAAAAGGGTTCCAATTAACATTGTGTAATGTGTTTTCAAAAGTTTGAAAATTTGTTTCTGTAAACTTCCGAGTAAGTTTTTTGTTTACACCCTTAAGGCTTGGAGAGGACATTTTCTCAAATGACAAAAGTAAAACTTTGTGGTCTGATGCACCTATGTCTAAAACTAAACTGATAGTATTTTTTTGTCTGCAAGTTAGAAATAATATTGTCAATACAAGTACAGTAAAGTCCCGCAAACTCGGCACTCGATAACCCGGCAGTCTGGATAACTCGGCCATCACCTGGCTCAGAAAATTAGTGATTTTTTTTGTCCGAGTTAAACATGGACTCAAGCCAGCTCAAGTCAAATCATTCACAACTCGTACCAAGGATTTGTTGTGCTATATCTGATGACCTAATACTGACTTGTAATATAAATATTAATAAAAAATGTGGTTAAAAAGCTTAAAAATTGTATTGTTGTTATTTTAACACTAGTTCCCATTAACCCAGCATTTCACAAACTCAACACCCTTCCAGTCCACATTACGCCGAGTTTGCGGGACTCTACTGTACCAAAATTTTAGAGCATTGTTCCTGAGTTAGAAACGTATGTAAAAACCATTTTTAAGTTGACCGGAAGTCCTTATTTACTTACACAGCCGCCATTTTGTTTTTTTCACTTATTAATTTGCTTCTAAAAAATGGTTTAACATACGAAATTGAAACTTTGCACAAACGTTTATGACAACTAAGCAACTTTTACAAATTCATCAAACAAAATGGCGGCCATTTAAAATGTTTATAAAATCAACTGTTTTTGAGTCATTTGAGAAAAAAAATTTTAAATGGCCGCCATTTTGTTTGATGAATTTGGAAAATTTTCACAATTTTTTCTAGCATTGCTTAGTTTTTATAAATTTTTGTGCGAAGTTTCAATTTTGTATGTTTAACCGTTTTTTAGAAAAAAATAATAAGTGAAAAAACAAAATGGCAACTGTGTAAGTAAATAAAGACTTCTTCTGGACAATTTAAATATGGTATTTACATATGTTTTTAACTCAGGAACAATGCTCTAAAATTTTGGTAGAGAGTTCCGGGACACCCTGTATATACAGTTGAACAACTTTGCCACCATTGGTATCTCAGAAACTATTAGATTTAAAGAGAACATTAAATGGGGAACTTCAACTAGTTTTTCATGAGATTAAAAATATGAATTCCAATGTTTAAAAAATGGCCACCATTTTCCAATATGGCGGCTAACTTTAAAATGTCTTATGGAACACTCTGTATTTTACTACTGTATTAGATTCTAGATGCAATTTTAGGACTTTTTATTCTTGGCATTTTCTCTCTAAACCTACTCGTTTAGGAGCTACAGCGTGCTAAACTTAGAAAAATTAGCTTGCCGTGTGGTTATAGTCATTATGGCATTAGCTTTTTTCAAAGTTTAACACGCTGTAGCTCCTAAACGAGTAGGTTTAGAGAGAAAATGCCAAGAAAAAAAGTCCTAAAATTGCATCTAGAATCTAATACAGTAATAAAATACAGAGTGTCCCATAAGACATTTTAAAGTTAGCCGCCATATTGGAAAATTACGGCTATTTTGGAAACATTGGAATTCATATTTTTAAATTTCATCAAAACTAGTTGAAGTACCCCATTTAATGTTCTCTCTAAATCTAATAGTTTCTGAGACAAACACAGGGTTTCTGAGGGTTTTCCTCATTACATGAATCATCAATGTAAAAAAAAATCACCTTTCAGATGCCAGTATTACTATTTACAGTTCTTATTTACTTTGTTTTGCAAAATTTCAATCACATCACTATCAAATTCTGAAAGAAAATAACTTACATGTATTAGTTTATTTTAGGAATGAAAATAAAAAAGTTTGATAATAAATAAGAGACAATTAACTTCAATTTCATACATCAAAGGCAGCTATGTAAAACTTTAAAAAGTGCTACAAGGTGAAAATGGTAATCCTATTTTGAAATATCAAACTGTCAAGGTCCGTGGTTTTATAACCAAGAATTACAAATCTGAATGACATAAAATAAAGATTGAAACCAATCTCTTATACTGTCAGGGTTTCTACAATATGTAATGCAAATTATTAAATGCCTGTATTAAATTCAAACAATGTCACACAATGTAATAACTATACTGATTGAAAAATGTAGCCATGTCAAAGTGGAGAAGGAAAAACTCCTCTTTTTCACCTGGCCAAGATGTTAACACATATTGTAATATTATAAAAACAATATTACCAATAACAAATTATTTGAACACACAAACCAAAAGGACCAGTCTGTGAGTTTATTTCCTAATTGGGTCGTAGGATTGCAGCCGATTCCCTTTGTTGTCAGACAGGGAATCTTACAGATTTTCAACCGTCTAATACAAGCACTGTTTGACATATTTCCCAGCGGCAAGAACTAGAATATTTAATTATTGAACTGTTGTTACCTTAGCCTTTGTTCTTGCAGTTAATATCCTCTAATATATTTCGCCACAGTGTGTGGCATCATCAGGGAGACGAGAAGAACTATTTACACATTTTATATACAGTTTATACACACATCACAAGACCGTACGTTTACTAAACGCAGCGACTTCCGGCGCGGACACACGACGGACACCTGTAGGGGATCACACTAGCACTGTGTTCTATTTTATGAATCTATTCCTATTTAGGAATTTTAAATGGTAAGTTTTGTATGTATTTTAGCAAGTTATTTTTTTAATTTCATAGATTTTTTTTAGTTTAAGCAATGTTGCTGAGTATGCGGCCACAACTTTATTTAAGGGTCTTCAGTAGTGCCGCGATATATAGTACAGTGCAATTAGCTTAAAAAAAGGTCAAACCGGGACATAAAAAAAAAGTTTCAAACCAGTGCCAAATTGTTTAATACACTTCCCTCAATATGTAAAAAAAAGTTACACTGATTTGAGTGTCGGGTTTGGGGGGGAGGGGGTGAAAATAGGACTTTTTTTACTTTTTTGCAAATACCTCAAAAAATGGTGCGTTTTTCTTAAAACATAATCAATTACAAAAATAATCTGCATTAAATTTCGAACAAAATGATACCATACAACACCTATCTACTCTGAACGGTTCAGGTAATATTGAGGGGTAAATGTGATTTTTTTCTTAAAATTCTAAAAAAGTTGTTTTTTAAATGGAGGAAACCCATGGACACCCATAAAAAAAGTTTCTAATGAGTGCCAAATTGTTCAATAAACCTCCCTTAATATGTATGGATTTGGGAACAAGGGTTAAAATAAAAAGGGGGGGAATGGGACTTTTTTTTGCTATTTTACAAATATCTCAAAAACGGTGCGTTTTCTTAAAATATAATGAATTACAAAAATAATCTACATTAAATTTCGAACAAAATGATACCATACAATACCTATCTACTATGAACCGTTCAGGTAATATTGAGGGGTAAATGTGATTTTTTTTCTTAAAATTCTAAAAAAGTTGTTTTTAAATGGAGGAAACCCATGGACACCCATAAAAAAAGTTTCTAATGAGTGCCAAATTGTTCAATAAACCTCCCTTAATATGTATAAAAAAGTTACACGGATTTGAGTGTCGGATTTTTGGAAGGAGGGTTAAAAGAAAAGGGGGGGGGTGGATGGGACTTTTTTTACTTTTTTTGCAAATACTTCAAAAACGGTGCGTTTTTCTCTAAATATAACAAATCACAAATATAATCCACATTAAATTTCGAACAAAATGATACCATACAAAACCTATCTACTATGAACGGTTCAGGTAATATTGAGGGGTAAATGTGATTTTTTTTCTTAAAATTCTAAAAAAGTTGTTTTTTAAATGGAGGAAACCCATGGACACCCATAAAAAAAGTTTCTAATGAGTGCCAAATTGTTCAATAAACCTCCCTTAATATGGATAAAAAAGTTACGCGGATTTGAGTGTCGGATTTGGGAAGGAGGGTTAAAAGAAAAAGGGGGGGGGGAATGGGGCTTTTTTTGCTATTTTACAAATATCTCGAAAACGGTGCGTTTTTCTTAAAAATAATGGATTACAAAAATAATCGATATTGAATTTTAAACAAGATGATGCCATACAATACCTATCTACCAGGAACGTGTTAGGAGATATTGAGGGGTAAATGTGATTTTTCTTTTTAATTCTAAAAAGTTGTTTTTTAAATGCAGGAAAACCGTGGATACCCATAAAAAAGTTTTTGTTCTTTGCATTTTTTTTATTAAATTACTCGTTTATGAGCTACAGGATGCGGAATGTACACAACAAGCCTTTTTTTCCATAAGTGTAACATGCTGTAACTCCTAAACGAGTAGCTTTTAAGAGAAAATGTCAAAATTAAAAATGTTTTAAAATTGGATTTGTATTCTAAAACAATCATAAACTACAGGATGTTCCATAAGAAACAACAAAGTTGTCGGCCATATTGGAAAATGGCGAACATATTTTTAAAATTGGGAACCATTCCAAATCATCTAAAAAAATAAAGGAGTGTCCCATAAGAAGTCAACTGTATAACTCATGATAAAAAAGTTAGCTATTGGTTCACTTTAGGTGAGACATCCTGTATACAGGGAGTCCTGTAAGTAAACAGCAAAACCCCAGGAAATGGTTCTATGGGTGAAAATAAAAAGAAAATCAAGAATATTTTTTCCAAAATCGCTTCGTTAACCAGATATTTGCCATTTTTTTTTTTTTTACAAAAACATTATTTCATCTCTGAATTTTTTAACCGATCATTAACAAACTTGGTATGTATGTTGAGATAAAATAGAC